ACACACATTCCAATTTCCAACGGGATACTACCGTTTCCTTCTACTTTTCTCTCTACTTTTCATTCATCGTCTTCTTTAGTTTCTTTCTTTCAATTAACGTGCCAGGACTTTACACATATAAAGCGTAGGCGCTATCGACGCACCCGTTGCGTCACATTATTATATTGATGCCGTTATTACATTTTTGGTTTTTTACTTTGTGACGACGTGGTTTGCAGAAATGAAAAAATTGCGAATAAATGAAATTTACAGGGAAAGTCATGAGAAATATAACTTTCGTCTTATTTCAAGCAATATTTTAACTACGATTAAAAACGAACGTACATTTCAATAGAAAGTGACTAAGAGTTGGGAGAAGCTGCTAGACTCGAAGATATAGTTAGCGAATTTTCGCAAAAATCACATCGTCGGCTCGTTGTTGAAATTCATTTATATCTACAGCCATTGATAAAACGCATTCATGGAAACCCGTTCCACCCAGGAAAGAATTCCTTGAAAAGTTGCTTCCATTCAGGCGATGACCTTGTCTTTTCGCCTACGATTTCACGCGCAAGATTTGTCTGTTTTAATCAAATTATTATACAGGGTGGTTCGTAACTGGTGGTACAAGCGGAAAGGGGGCGATTCTATGCGAAAAAGAAGTCGAAAATATAGAATAAAAATTTTTTTTTTTAATTTTTACAGTGAGGTCCGTTATAACGAGACGTGATGAAATGCACGCGTACCGAGCGAAAATTCAAAGTCGATTTTCTCGAAAACAAAGCCTCGAACAAAACATTTTTATTCTATATTTTCGACTTTTTTTTCACGTAGAATCACCCCCTTTCCGCTTGTACCACCAGTTACCAATCACCCTGTATATTATCAAATTATCAAGCCCCATTCACATATTCATTGATGAAACGCGATCTCGAAAGTTTCATTCTCACCATTCTGAAACTCTTATCTCGCTGCGAGCTACACGATAATTTCCTACACAAACGAAACTATTTTCAAATTAGAATACCGGAAAGATATTGCGAAACTTTGTTTGATTAATACATTAGCTCGTTATTAGAATTCGTTCAAATATCCGTGGCCATTCACGAAACGGCCGGACAATTTATGTTTATAAACGATGCCACCGTTCATTGTTGGCCGATTGTTCCCGGGGGATGATTAATCGGTTTCGTTGGAGCAAGTGCGCCGGTGTCTCCGTTTTAAAAAGAGATTTATTAGCAGCGTGACATAAACGGCGATTATGACTTCCATACGTACTCGTCGATTAATCACCGGCGTTGCTTGGTGCCTCGCTTAAGAACGCGCTACGCGAATTAACACCGATTGCGAAAGTCGATGCCGTGCGTGCAATCGATGCCTGTATGCCTGTGATTAGCCGCGCGATTTATACGGTATATTTATCAACGATAACGCAATCCACTCGATTCTTTGACTATCCTGTTCTCGGACCAAGCCATACCAACGTAGAGAAATATCAACGTTAGGCGGTGAATGATATATCCGTGGATATGAATTGGATGTTTGAGAGCGAAGGGTAGTTACGAGTTTCGTTCACAAGACCTCGTTTCATTGAACAATCTCTACTCCGTTTTATAATCGAGCTATATTCGTTACGAGCTATACGCAATTTACGTTTAAATATCGCATGATGAGAAATAATGATGTGTTGCACGTTTAGGTGGATCGAATTACAAGACGAGATGATCGCGATGGAGAGGTAAAAATGAAACTGTGGGTAGACGTTCTGTGTCGAAATGAAAAAGGCGATGTTGGTACTTGCACGTGCGAAGAATTAATTTTGAATCGATATGGAGAAGTTCGTATGCGAAAGGAACGATGCTGGAGTTCTTAGAAATATTGTTGACAAATATTTCATGGTTTTCGAAATTGTATAAATATGCGCGAGTGGATATCATCATCAAAATCACTTTTATTCGCGGTAAATTTCGACTATTACATTTTTCTTCAAATTCAGGTTTATCTGTTTTTACAGTTTGTTCAGACACATTGGGAAACTCGTATAGATATAAATTTCTTTCAAACAATAACGCATTTTATTGTAGTAGCCATTAAAAAATAATTGTAAAAACGTGGTCAAAGTCGTGGTTTATTTACTGATTGAAAATACATCTGCTCTGTAAGAATGCTTTCCATGACCATACAACTCCATAATTTGATTCCATGTCGCTCCTGTAATGTAATTCTCTCAGATATGCTCGTACAACACGATAAATATTTTGTTTAACAAAAGAAAAAAAAAAGAAGAAGAAGAATCAACGTATTGTATTGGACGAAAAGATTGAAGACACTACAGAACGCGAACAAGGCTCATTTTTGTTACGAGCCCTTTATTTGAAAACATCATGCACGCCTGTAGTGGCTTGGTAGCGGCAAAAAATGTGGACGAGAAGATTTTTCTGGGATCAGGCCGATCCATTCAGGCGATGTTTGAATTAAACGCGGCTCTTTGATTTTAATGATGCCGTGCGCGTGATACGAACGCATCACGTGTCCCTCGCCGCTCGAATCGGCTGAAAATTATCCGTGCGTTCGCCAATAACACGGCGTATTACCATAAATGCTGTCTGTCGGTGTAATTTTCAATTTTGTCCGGCCTTCTTGTACCCTTCTAACCGCGTGTCTCCTTCCTTCTCGTGCACCGAGTATCGCGCTCGGTTTTTACACGCGTTTTCCACGTGATTTCTTGCCGTCCTTTCTGCAGGCCGTGGATTACCAAAGAAAGAAGAAGATTCCCCCGGACGAGAGAAGAAACTAACGACTTATTCTCTGGAAGACAGAGACCCGTGATCGACGTTTTCCGTGCTGATGCTCGAGTTATCGTGGCCGTGATCGAAACAGTACCGACAATCGTGGGAGAAAGAATTTCGTTTGTTGTGTAATTAGCGTGAACGCAACTGCAAGGTATTGCCAGTATCGATAAGATCGGCTCGTTGTTCTCATTGGACCGCGAAAAACATAGCAATTCTTTGTTGTCACGTTTGCTTTCCACGTGGATGATGGTCTTAAGATGCTAGGTGTTTGAGCGAGGTTCACGTTTGACGGTCTAAGAACGAGGAAGAATCGTTGGAGATCATTTGATCTTAACGACTTTTTTCATACGGGTGTAACAGATGTATTCAGCGTAACAAGAAAGTTATTAGGCAGGAATTTTGTGTTAAAAAGTATTTTCTTTGCTTTCAAAGATATTGTTTCATGTGAATATTACGGTGTTATATTTAGGAAGAAATAAAATATTCAATACGGAATTGCTATGATAACAAGGACAGGAAACAATTAGGAAACAATGTCTTGATTTTTTGAATAAGAAATTCCTGGATCGTATCTATTTAGAAGGATGTTTATCATTTTTTAATTACAGTTTATCGTGCGATTCTTTTTCTCGTTGCTCTCTCAAGCGATCAATTGCTTTAGACGATGCCACATTTTAAGATATTGTAAAGCGTAAGCGTACAATAATGCATTATCATGTAGGCGATAGAAATTATTATTTCCTCGTCGTCGCGAATTTGCTGTTAAAATGCATTGCGAGGATCGACAACACCGTTACGCAACATAAGAAATAAAAAAGAAGATGAAAAATTTTGAAACTTTTGTTCATTTGAAATAGTCACCACTTAATTAGGTAATTAAATTATTAAAATTAATTAATTAAATAATAAAATTTCTGACGCAATTATCAGAAATGTGTTTGAATATTTCACCGAAAATTTTTTGTAGCTTCGTTTCCTCCTAACCAGCTGAAGATGAAACGAGGTTCTTGGTAAAAAATCCAGCATAGCTTAGTGTAGAATTATCGTTGAATATTAAACAAGGGCAACAAGGAACCGATTCTAGAAATATGTAATCGTGGTCGATTACATTCTTGGAGACTGGTTAACAGATTGCATCTTCGGACCGTCTGGAATCTTACGGTTGCGTTGTTATGTACTGGAAGACGTTTTACATGAAGACGATTACATAGACGATGCCACACGGGTTGGTTCACCTTGAAAGTTGTGTTACGATGAGCGGTGGATTTCTATCTTGTGGTTAGTCAAACCTTCGCTTACGTGTTTTATTACGTAGACTTGTCGTCGTAAGAATAAAACAACGGAGACATAGAAAGAAAAATCTTAATTTTCTGAAAAATTCTAGTCACCTTACATTCGATCCTTTTAAATGTTAAAAATTACATATCAGAAAACCATAGAAGAATATTACTCTGAATACAGTGAAATATCTTATAAATTATATGCCACAAAATTGTAGAAGAACAATTATATTTTTTCACACTTTCTTTGTTTAAAGGTAATTAATTGTTGCAATAAAATAAACTACTCTATCTCGTTAATTGTATAACAATTTATAAAGTGTATTATGACTCTAAATGTAAAAGGAACTAATTTATTTAATTTATTTTAATTTACTTGTGGTTTTGTATATCTTGATAGCAACGTATATCATACGGTATGTTAATCATCTGCTATAATCGAAAAAAGGTGTGGATATATTGTCAAATAGCAACGCTGTGCATTTTGGTGAAGAATTTTCAAATTATTCTATAAAACCAGAAATATATGACTCATTTTTCCCCTGTTCTGTCATATGAAATACACGTCAATAATAGCCATAACAAAAATCTGCAACGTAACTGACATAAAATATAATCAATGAAATTATAACAAAGACGAACGATACGACATAATAAAGTCTTACAGATTAAAGTTTCACAGATTAGGGAACTTTTCGCCGAGATACTGTCTTTGTTAGCTCGTAATTTGGTTAGCGACTTCCAACGAGACCGGTGAATACGAAGCCGGCCGATTACTCCATCGAAGTCATGCTTAGCCGTTATGGTGCGCATTATGCCGTGGAAAAAGTGTGCAACAGTATTTGCATGGCATTTGCATACGATTTGCATATAATCTTTAATGAACGAGAGATCTGCGCTTTCTCTCTAATAACGTGGAATATAACCGCGTATTTTTGCCGTGCACTTGTCGAAACGCCATACGACTACGCCTCTCTCGTGATTAATCGATCTTCCGTTCGTTCTGGGACAAGGATTTTTGTCTCGTTGGGAAAACGACGTCACGGAAACGAAAAAAAAAAGAAAAAGAAAAAAATGAAACGAACGATGAATAAGAAACGTGACACGTTCGATTGAACGTGATGTATCATTGGTAGAGGAATGTCTCGGAAGTCATCGATGCTGAATGTTTATCGAGAGTTTTAAAAGATTGATGCAGCTCGAGTGTATGCGTCACTTGTCAATTTATACGTTGCTTCTGCGTCGTTTAAGAATTAATTCTCGATTTCTTCCGAGGATTTCTTTGTCGAGGACTGCTCACGAGTACGAATAGTATGATTAAACGAAGAGCTGTGACATTGCCTCGATACAAATTCCACTAGTAAAATATTGGTTGGTTCGATAAGCCGATGTTGCAGATTTTATCCGAGACTGAAGTTACTTTCATTTGTCATTTACCGTAAGAAATAAAGACATCAATTACATTAAGAATACCAGGCACTAAATCAAAACGTTCGATCTATCTAAATTCTATATTTGTCACTATACCTCGTTCTTGCAAAAGCATATACATATATTTCCTCCTATTTGTCGTTATCATTCTCCATCGAAAAGTAATAAAACTTCAGATTTGAGTTAAAACAACTTCATCGTCTTAATAAACGAACGAAGCGACCCAACAGAACGCTTTCTCTGAAAGAATTCCAGCCCCTTTTTTGAAAGAAGCAACTCTTTGAGCGAAACATTCTTTCGGCATCTATATCGTGCTTTCCAAAAGCGCGTGGCTAACACAAATACACCTCAGCGGTCGCATATAATAATCGACGATGACAAAGTCCCAAAATCTCATACTAAAACGACTCAATTGCGAATGAATAAAACATGCGAATACATAACGCTTTCTCTGGTGAAATTCCACACTACGTGAGGAATTTTTCGAGCTAAAGATTCTTTCGGCACCTATATCGCCGCTACTCTGTGCTTTCCAGAAGCGTGTGACTAACGCAAATGGACCGTGGCAGTCGAGTATGATAATTAATTAGAAAGGCAGAGACCGGCGATCGGCGATCTCTTTCAAGCCTAATATAACTGGCTCTCTGTCTCGCCTCGGCTCCAGCGCCTCTGTTCATCCTCCTCCACGAAGGAAGTCTTCTTTTTCGTGGCCGCTCCTCCGAACGACCTTGCGATCTGCACCGCTGATGGCTCGGTCTGAAATATCGGCGTGCCGTGGATCCGGATCACATTCCCGCGAAACGATTTCGTAAGAATGTATCCGTCGGACGGTTGTGCCTGGCCAATTGTCCAGGTATTCGCAGAATTAAATCGTTTCGAAGCGTTCGCGGTGTGTCGCGGAAACACTAGGGTGGCGCGTGTACATCGATATCCGCTTGAAGCTGTGTGTGTATGCCTCTTTGGCGGAAAGTAATTTTCGCCGGGGCGATACGGGCGGAATGAAAGCGGCGGGAAACGATGGGAACAGCAACCGGGATTTCAGTCGTTCGCCGGGAAAAGCGTCGTTCGCCGGAAGCCAGGCAATCGAGATAACGACGAAATAATAATAAAGTAACGCGCTTGCGAGGTTGCGAGAATAACGATAGAGAGTGAGAGAGAAGGAGAGGGATTTGGCGGGAGCAGAATCCGGGCCAGGTTCGCTCTTTGCCCCGCTATACACAAGTCGAGTGGTTGGTTGGTTCGCTTGCTGCTGGTTTCAGCCCGATAATCGATCCTCTCCATTCGGTCGTACGTTGGCAACGAGAACACCGTGTGCACGCTTACGTTGAACGCTTGAAAAGTATTAAGAATGAAACTTCGTTCACACCGTCTGGTCGGCGTCGAAATCAATAATGCCCAGGTTGAACTGGGTTAATACCATGGTACGCTGCTTGGTCAGGAATTTCGTTCCGTTCTACGCCTTCGTGCCCTTCGTTTGTCTTTCTTCGTTCTTCCACCTTGCCGATCCGCCGTATCTCTCTTTCACTTTGGTCTGGCTCTTTCTTTCCATCACCTTGGACCTTTTCGTTCTCTTGCTTCTTTCCATCCTTTCGTTCACTGACTGCTAAGCATATGACGGATTCTCGAACAACGCAAAGGTCTCGGTCGACTAGTCGCGTAGTTGAAATACCACGTGTAATTCTTGGTGTTGTGATGATCGTAGCAGAGCAACTTGTTATTGACTGGGGACTCTGTTTCGTATGCTGTACGCGACGTCGTTGTGTTTCTGTAATAAAATAAAGTATTTTATGTAACGATATCACGATAACTAACGTATGTTGCAGAATATGTAAGTATCCGCTCTCCTCCTTTTTTATTGCCGACTTAAGACATTTGTTTTTTCGTTCTCTCTCAAGTTGATCCGCATAATGCTTCCGTTCTGACGTCTCTCTTTTTTCGCCTTCCTCCGTTCTTCCCTCTTTTTTTTTCTCTACACCAGCTAGCCGGAACGTACGAGCGTATAACGCGGTCGCGCCATTAAACCTAAGTGGCTTACAGCCTTAAAATCGTAATAAAAACCAGTCGGAATTACACATCGGTCGTCAGTGGACTTTGGCTGTCCTTTAACCTCGTCAACTCTGGTTTAGCCTAGAATATTTGACGTTCTATTGCCACGTTATAGCCGGACATCCCAGAAACATCCTCTTCGCTGCCACGTGCAGTCGGATTGATATTATTAGCGAAACTTTACAAGCCACGAGATACAAATCGCCAATACTACTGAAAGCTCTTCCGTTGCGGCAAGAAATCTGATATTAAGAGAAATTGAATTTTGCGAGTGAACTTTGAAAGAGCAGCAGAGTTTTACAAAATTCGTAAAGGAGAAATCGTAGTTTGTCAATTTGTTACCACGCCGAAATCAGATGTTTCACTCAGGACGCTACGGGAGTATTTTTATTATTCAAAGAATATAGTGGTAAAATAATAATAAACCGATGATGTAAGGCAACATTCTTCCCCAATGGATCGTTTATCTTATTGGTGGACACGGGTGACCATTGTGGCGCCTTGGTAACGGCTGATAGCGACATATTATAACAAGGATTCGTCTATTTCAACAAACCATTCGTATTCGTTATTTCGTCGTAAGCCAAACGTCCAGAATATATTGTTGAAACGTGTAGATGATATTAGTAAACAGTATCTGATCATTCTATATATATAATAGTAAGGTGGAGAGACAAGCGTGACATTTTTATGATTTCGACAAGACATTCGGATGAAATGGTAGAAGTCTGAAAAAAATTTATGTTTGTGATAAAGCAATGGTAGTGGTAGATTACAACAGAGCAAAGTGTGCTGTAGATTTATCAGATCAAATGATACTATATTCTACATCACATAGAAGAAACCTCAAGTGGTATATAAAATTAGCTTTAGAGTTATTGTTAAATACATCAGTTTCAAACGCGATGATACTCTATAAACAAGCAACAAAAACAAAAATCAAGATATCAGCTTTTAGAACGACACTCGCAATGCACCTTACACAGTGCCATTCACCAGAGCCGTCGAATATATTTATTCGACAAAGATTACGACACGAAATGCAGAAGAAAGAAGGGCAAGCGTACCTGGCACGAAAATTTTGCAAAGAGTGCTATAAAAAAAATGTTAAACAGTCAGGATCAAAAATTGCTAAGAATCGAACCAAAAAGTGACCACCTATTGTTCAGATTGTTTTGCTGAACCACATTTATGTTTAAAGTGTTTTAACACAGTGCACCGTTAGATGCAAGATTTCTTCTCATTTTTTTATATTGATGTTCTAATAAAAATGTTTAATTGTTCAATGGTTCACTTTTTATTTCAAAGTATCTTCTATTTATCGGTTATATATAAGCAAAACGTCCAGAATATATTGTTGAAACGTGTAGAAGATATTAGTAAACAGTATTTGCTCATTTTAAGTATTGCGGTTGGCGAAAGGTAAACAGCTTCTTCTTTCTAACCTTTTACAATGATACGAAGATGATATAAGAAAATTCACAGTATTTCGAAGCCATCAGTAGCTTTTCCGCGTTCGTTGGATCATTTCGACCTTATTTGATTTTTATTTTATTCATAGAAACTGTTATAGCTGTCGTTTTAGGATCGTTCGTAACAACATACCTCACCTGGAAAAAAAAAAACTATAAAAAAGGATCACTTATCTCGTTTTCGGAAGAGTTGGGAGATCTATATTTCGATCAGATTTTTAGGCCGATCGGTGCACCCATGGCCCGTGTAATTTCATTCGGATTCCGATTTAAATGGACGGTGACACGCGTCGAGATAACCGGTAGCTGTTCGCCGCGTTGAAATTTATTTAAAAGATGGTCGGAAGGGTTGTCGATGGGAATCAACAAGGGGAGAGCGAAGCGGGCACATGAAAGAGACAGAGAGGACGACGATTATCCGATATACGTGTCCAGTAACGATACGTCAAACACGATTTCCGGACATTTTTATAAGAACGATCGGTTCGACACGAATGGTTCGTCCGCATTAAACGTCGAATGAAGTTCGCGCCGGTGGATGGGACGCGTTCGCGGGTGAATCGAGCGTTGATTGTGGCGGCGCGTCGATTGTCGAACCGTGGTGTATACTCGGCCGGTCGATAGACGCCGGTACCGTGGCTCTGCGCGTACCTTCGCTTTGTTTGCCCGTAACAACCATAATTATCTTGCCACGACGTTATCTCGTATGAATCATACTAACCTGACGTAATGTACTTGTTGTTATTTGACGTTGCCATGCATTCAGGAGCCCTCTCCACGGATGCATCGTCCCAGACGCGCGAATTGACTCTAATTCGCAGATAAGACGAGTCGCCTCTCTTGACTTTGTAAGCCGCTTGTTAGAGGATTTAACCGACCTTGGTTAAGTCGTAGAAGTACTTTTTCAGCGCAGTAAATCTTTGTTCAAATTTATGATCCTCCGTGGCTGGGATTTCTATCGCTCGATCCGGATCTTGTTAGTTTAATATTTAAAAATGTCCGAGGCAATTTACTTAATTCAGCGTTTCGCCTTGTGAATTTTTTTTCGCAAGGTTTCTCGGTTATAGGATTTCGCTTTAATTCGCAAACGGTTGAGTTTGTTATTATCGATATTCCACGGGGTCCGTTCTATCGAGGTCAGTTTGATTATTATTCTCATTTGTATCATTTTCTTAATATTACGCTCTTTCTTAATTTGATAATATTTCTGAAGAAGTTACTTGTTCTTTTCTTTCCTTTCGTAAAATATAATTAATTAATACGATCGTAAAATACATATGATACGACTAATTAAAACGATCAAGGTTTGTCCTTCTCACCATTGCTTTGATATTTTATCTTTATATTATTTGTATTATACGACGAGTTTATTCCGAACTGTGAATCTTTTAAAGTACGAATATCTTGGAGAATACGTACGCGTATTCCAATACACGGAAAGAACAGACGCTATAAGAACAGGTATAGGAGAATTAGTTGCATTGGTTCTGGCATGTTCCACGTATCTACATAATGAAATTGAGATGAAAAGTTGAAGCTAATCAGCTTGTCTACAGAGAAACTCAATTATAGATGTTACATTTCTATTTAAAATTCATGGCCAGATAAATGCAAAGTTTCCTAGACGTCTGGTATCATATGAGAAGTCATCGTAGAAGGTCGCCTCGCGATAGAATAAACGACATTGAATTAGACGATATCGCGTGATTTCACGACGCAAATAGGTTGCGTGGCAACTAGTAGATTTATCTCGAAGAGCCGCGTAAACGCGACACAACGCGATGACACGCAACTTCGCCTGCTTTAATTCTAGTTTGTCGCTGCCTGGATGTGGAAGAAAATGCAGCCGAAGGAAAAAAGGCTGTCTGAGCGGCGAGAGGCGAGCGTTTTTTCCCTTAGATAAATCCTTCAATTACGGGCTGGCGAGTCAGTAAATATAGCTGCTGCAATGTCGGAACAGCCTTCGAAAACTTCGTTTCGCTGTCAGAACGACGGCTTTAAGTGATTTATAATCAAAACTGGATTAGGTGGATGGAAAAGCCTTAACTTGCTCGAGCACTCGAGGCAAGTCGAGGCCCGTTGAACATGAAGCCTGCCAGTGATTTAAAAGTCTCTTAAAACGTATTAAATAAATGGCCGCTTGAAAAACGCGAACGTTGTTCGTGGGAATAATGTCTATTTATCCGTAGGCAGCTATTTATCATTTCGAAGCGAAGGATTCGCGCGAATGAAATGATTCTGCTTGCTCCTTGAATATCTTTACGTAGTACGTACTTACTTCATCGATGTATTCTTTCATAATGTTTTTATTATCGATTTATTGTCACGTATAAATCTTTTTAATAAACGCAATGATTAACGTTCTATAGTTCTACGGAAAATCGAAGTAAACAACAGTTGTCGTACCGAGTCCGATTCTTTCGTTTCACCATTTTTTTTTTCTTATTAGATACATTTTCTGTCTACTTGCCTTGTTTGACTAGTTTAACTTTGAAATAATGAGATTTATTCTTATAACGGATCAAATTTGTACATGTAAAAATTGAAGAAGATTTAACAATATTATATTTTATTTTCATGTAGGAATCAGATTACTAGATTACGGATACGTTTATGGAAATTCATATTTTCATGGACATAATTAACATATAGTGTAAATTCTAAGATATATCTAACTAATTCTTCTCTTTTCATTTTGTTTCAGGTAAGCACAGTAAAAGGGAATTTACACGTATAAGACATCGATACGTACCAGGCATACTACAGGTTTTTATATTAAATATTCGCGTTATTAACTTAGACCTTTGCGATTATTTATGCGAATTCATATTTTCATGAATACAGTGAACCGAGGAAGTGGCGTTTAAACAGAGATTTGACAAAATATTACTATAATTTTATTACTTTACTTCGGATATTTTATACTTGCGTGTTATCGGGCTGCTAAGAATATTCGTAACATTCTCAAAATAGTACTTTCACGTTCATATGTTACAAGAATTTGATGCTGTAACAACGAAACGTAAAACTTCATAAAAAACGCTTTATCGGAAAATAAGGATGCGTGCAAATATTTCTCGCATCCACTTCGTACGTACCATAATCAAGCTACCTGTACTTTGCCTTCTCTCGTCCAACAACGACGTTTCCAAACGAAAAAAAAAAAAAAAAAAAAAATGAAAGAGTGAAGGTACACGAGTGGTGATAAATTTCCGAACGAAAACCTTCGCTGAGAATCGTCACGAGGCATCATATCTGCGGTGATTTGTTACCCTGGGTGTCGTCTAGCTCCGGTGACACAACCCTGTTTCATTCTGATGGAAAAGCGTTGTACGGAGTTTGCGTAGCGAGACGGAAAGTCGCGAGGTCGCGTGCCACTCGCGTGACATCCGCTTGATAACGATGCTTCACGTATCCTCGATCTCGACGTTCCTCAACATCGTCGCCGTCGTCGTCGTTTTCGTCTTCGTCGTTGTTGACCGTCTGCACAGGGTAACCCGTCATTTTTTACCTCTTCTCGAGCGTTTTGTAAATAGCCGACGAAATGGCCCATTTTCCTAGCTGGTGCTCGCGTTCCTCGGGTATCATCCCGAGCGTACCGCCGATTCATCACAAACTGTCAAGCTGTCGCTGAAACCGGTGCATCCTAAATGCGACCGGACACTTTATTGCTCCTTTTGCTTACTGTTTCCCGATGGCCCGTTAACGGTGATTGATGCATTTTTAACGGGTCTCGTCTCATCGAATATTATGAACAGTTTACACGCGTTCCACTTTTCGATCCTTATCGCGTCAGATTGAAACGTATCGTTGTCCGTTATCACTCGCGTTCCAGCGTTGTTCGGGCAATTTTCTGTTTCGGTTATTGCAACGGCAGATTATAAATTCGTTTCTGTACAGTCAGCGTTCCATTTAACTGCGCCAACTCTCCACGACGGCTTACACTTTCCAAATTTCATGCAGGTGCGTGCACAAGTACGCTCGTCCATCAGGCTGTACACTTTCAGACAGCGAGATAAGACTGGAAGATTATTACGGACTTACTGAAATCTTCATGATCGTCGTTTTGCTTGGAACCGTGGTCTAAGATGAATCTACCTATATGTTCTGTGTTACAGTAAGAATGAGAATTAAATTAGTAGATACTAGAAATTCAAACTCTTCTTTATAATTGTTGTAATTATTTTCGACGTTTGTATCATTCGATTTTGTCATCATATCATATCATATCATTTCAATTGGTAATTGCTATTCTTTGGTTTCGTGCATTCTATAAACGACACCACGGGTGAGATTCAAATTTTTGTTCGCTTCATCGAATTTCCTAACACGTATCGACGTTAAAATCGAAAAATCGACGAAAATGTGCCTCTTGTGACCTTCGCATAATTCTACCAAAGATCCTCCTGCGCTCGCAATTGACGTTTTAGAATCTGAAAGAAACCTAGTCGCCATCCACGTTTTATACAGAAATCTCGTTCAACTTCATCACGTACCGCGTTATCGCTACGATAAATAAAGCAACAGATAAATGGTTTTATTCGAATCCGGTAGCCTTGAAACAGACTTTGCATTGCGATTTTTGTTAACTTTGCAAGATAAAGTAATAAATTCGTACAACTGGTAACAAGAAATAAGCGTAAAACGTAGAAATGGTGGAGTTCATCGAATTTAATGTCCCCTTTGGCCTCCGTGGAAAACGTAGGGGTAGATCCGCACGCAGGCATCTGGCCGCATTATTACCGACAGTAGCGCAATTATTTCGGCCCGACAATGTTCTTTGTTCGCGCGACGTGTTTGTGGGTCGTGCATTTTCGGCGATCCATTGGGTTTCGTCGCCTGTCCCGCTCTCCTACCAACCCAAAACCCCCCCGTAACACCCTCGAAAACTAGGAAGGGTGTTTCGCTCCCCCTTTCCTCCGCAGAGTTTAAGCAGGACGTCGGTGAACAGTACGGGTCGGGTCGATCCTCTTGGCGAACCCCAAAGCTTGGACGTCCCTCGGGGCTTCGGCACACGATATAATACACGAGAAACTTAACAGGCATCGAGCTTACCGAGAGTCTTGTACAGTAACACACCCCTGCCTCTTCTCTCCTAGTCGCCACGAGCCCCAGCGTACCACTTAGATTCCCTTTTGGTGCTACATACAGGGTGTCCTGTAACGTATGGCAGTAATTTCCACGAAGAGTAGACCCTTTATTTGGAAACAATTAGAAAGTTTATAGAAATATCGATCGAAAGTTTGGCATGCGTATGCGTCTCGTGGAATTTAAGAAATGAAAAAGAATGTCTGAGATTGCATTCAATATGAAGGTTTTCGAATTTGTTAAAGTAAGGTTATTTTAGAGATATTGTGTGAAAATCAAGGGAATCGTAAATAATATTGATTTTCAATTGATAATAGAATTAATAGAGAATCGAATACACGATACAAGTAGGGAAGTGATTTCAGAATTTTGGTCGATGGCGTATGCTTTGTTTCAGTTCGTTTATGAGGTATAACGAATTTTGTGTTATGGCGTCTGGCATTTGATAACACTGGTAGTACTGATTTTCAATTAATAACACAATTAGTAGAAAATTTAATACGCGGTATAAACAGGAAGGTGATTTCGCCACGGTTGACGTATCGTTTTATCTATCTCAGCTTGTTTATCAGTGTTTGTGTCGCGTTAGTTGATGTTTGATTATCTTCGTTAAATTGATCGTTGATTAAATTCCAGAAGAATTTTAATTCCAGCAGTGTTTCGCCGTTATAGAAGTGAAATCAGTATCAAATTATGAT